GGATGACCTCATTGCAACCTGGCAAGCCATGTAGGCAGTGTAGAGACATGGCAGAGGAGGCGTCGTTGATGCTGGGGACTTGAATCTCCAGCATGGTGTTGGCAGGCGGGGCTATGCCGTCCTCTTGAAGTGTTCTCGTCGTGTGTCTTCATTTGCCACCGATTGAGCTACCAGCGTCGACAGCTGGCCAAACACGCTGTCCTCATCGTTGATCGATCCTCAATCTAGCCACTCCAAGTCCTCAGGGGATGGGGAGGTCGACGGTGAGGTGGCTTGGGGAGCACATAGGGCCCTCCCGCACGCACTCACCCTCGTCCCCACTTATCTCACTCCTAAGGCCTTGTTTGCATGCATGTGTATCCACTTCAATCCACATGTGTTGGAGTGGATTGGAATGGAACTTAGTTTAATTTCACTCCAATCCACTTTAATACATGTGGATTAAGATGAATACATATGCATCTAAACAAGGCCTAAGGGAGGTGCTTGGAGCCAACGCCATGGGTGGCTACTATTGAGACCCAGCCGAGGTCAGGGAGCAACAGGGTCCCCTGATGGCAAGACCGACAGAGGATCCAACCATCAGGAATAGTCCAACGGAGGATCCGGTCGTAGAGGAGCGCAAGTGGTAGATCAGGCCGGCGAAGATGCAGATTGGCACAATGACGAAGATGGGGTAGAGTTAGAGTTCATGGTGAAGGGAGGAGAAAAGGATGGGAGTAGAGGGGATGGTCGGATGGAGACTACCGGGGCCGGGGTGGCCGTCGGAGCGGGCTCACAAGCAGTAGCGGCACCATGGGAAAGGGGTCGGGGAACATGAAACGATTATGATTGTTTATGTAAGAGATAGAGAGACCACCAGTCATGTGGATCCAACCACCGCATCATTAAAATCAATAAAAAAGGGTCTGTCTACAGTCCACCTAAGTGTTTTGGAGCCTACCAACACTCGATTTTTCCCCCTCAAAATCAAATTAACAAAAATAAGATTATCAAAATAAGCAGATATTTTCTATGAATTGCAGATGAAAAAATCTTCACATGGATTCAAAATTAGACAGACATACAAAATTTAAAAAACAAATGAACAAAACAAAGAGTTTTCGAATAGTTATATAGTTACACCAATTCTATCTAGAAGTTACACAAAAATAATCACTGTAACTTTAATATAACTACAATGTAAATTCAGTATAAATTTATAATAACTACAAGTTTAGGTGTGGGAAAGAAAGATTTGCATGCAAAAGAAGAACGCAGGTGAGAGGAAGAGATTGATTTGCATGCGGGAGTGTCGGATAGAAAGAGATATTTAGGGTCCGATCGATTAAAGGGGAACGGCTCCCTAGGAATATTCTAGACTAGATTCGTATTCTAATTTGAATAGGCTTCGTCAGCTAAAATTATTCCTGACCAAGTTTCTAGCTTAACCGAACGGCCCCTTAATGATTTGCGTGCGGGAGAGATTCACATAGACACCTCCTTAAAAAACGGTTCACGTGGCTAACCTCTATATACGCTAAAATCAATCGAGTGCTACCAATGTCTAAAACACTCTAGCGCTATTTAGCTTTTCTGTAAAAAATCACTTTGAAATGGTCAAAAGAGGTATTGTATTCTGTTTTAAAAGTTAAGGGTATGATATTGGAGCTTGAAGGGGATTTTCAAATTTAGCGACTAGTTAGGAGGTAAATCGGACTTACTTAAGGAAAAATGATCAACACACTAACGTAGTACTCCTAAATGTGATTTAATGAATATCCACGTAAATTCCACATTATTCACTGAACATACCGGTTTCTCGAGAGATTTTGCATAGAACGCATGTACTTTTTTGCGATAAAATTTGTTCCCGGATTAAGAATTTGATTTCAGCAAATCAATACATTATGTTCGTGGACCACGTAAGATCCAACTACTGACCAACATGAAACGGTAAATAAAGATAGTCATGATGAAGAAGTTTCCTTTTTTTTCTATAGACAGGGATAGGCACTTACCGATCTTGTTGACGACGGCGACGCTGGTGAGAGTGGACTCGAACAACCAAGAAAGAATCTGGTGGCGTTCGATGAAATCCCCGGTGGCTCCCGAGAACCCGACCGCCGCGTCCGGCGGCAGCCCGGCGTTCTTGAAGTCGACGATCGCGCTGACGTTGTAGAGGCCCAGCTCTGGCAGATCGTCGAAGCGATGGGTCACTGACAGCGTGCTCATGTCGGCGTCGTATCTGACCCACGCCGACATGGTCCCATTGAAGCTCCCGTCCGGCAGCGCCATGTACGCACGAGACGTCATGTTTTTGACGTCCACCCCAAGATGGTTCACGGTGTTGTTGGGGTCCCGGTCGTTGTTCCTGAACGCGTCGAACTCCACGGCGACGGTCGGCGGGAAGACGGTGTTGGCCGTGTTGTTGGGGTTGTTGAAGAGGCCGAGGAAGCCGCCTCTGGAGTCCCCTGGCAGGTTCGGGGGCCACGGCCCGACGTAGAACGCCATGCCGTCGGACTGCACTGCGCAGCAAGTCTCACATCTAACGAGTGCTGGTGCGAACATCGAGAAAGCTTAATTAGAAGTTCTTTGGATAGTTAAGTTGCCTGGTTGGTGCTGTTGTGCCTTGTGCGGCTTGATAGCGAAGGTGAAGCTGGCGACCTTGCCGGTGTCGTCCCAGAGCTCCAACGGCGGGCCGTACGCCACACAGCCGGTGCTCCAGATCGTGTCGTTCGTCAGGTCGATCCGATCGCTGCCAGGAGAGGCGTTAGATATGTACTTGATGTCAGGGCTGTTGAGGACGCCGGGGATGGAGAAGTTGTAGTCGAAGCTGAGCGAGGTGACATGGGCAACACAGACACAGAGCAGGTAGGCGAGGCTGAGGAGGAGAGGAGGGCTCTTGGAACCCATAACCATGGCCATGGCAGGTGGCTGGCTACTACAGCTCTTTGTGCAAGTATATGGTCACAGATATATCTATCAACCTAGCTAGGCTGTAGGTGGTTGGTTCCTGCAGACCAGGGGTCGTCGTTTCGTCGCCTTTGGTCTCCGTCTGCAATCGGCCGGCTTGAATTTTTTGAATTAAAACAAAATAAAACTAATTCGGCTGGCCGTACGGTCTGTGGGTAGCTACGTCACACATGATTATATTATCTCCAAATGATCTGCGCACCCAGCCGGAGCCAGGGGAGAACCACCTGCGCGACTTCAGGAATCCACCTCCGCAACCATCGATAGCAATCAAACGCATTGGAGGAGCGTGAGCGTCGACCTTGGCAGGATCGTCGCACATGCGTCATGCGTCGTCGTCATCGGCCCAGGGAGTGCCTCTGTCTACATACAAATGGCGAAATGGGCGACAAGAAAGCTTTTGATAAAGAAAATATCATGGATCTCTTCAATCTACCTTTATCCCAAGTGGCCTTTGATCAAGTTCTAAGCATCCAACAAGTAACGGAAAATTCAACACGAGAAGAACAGAATAATGATACTTGCACATACTCTGGAGGATCAGCAAAGTTCAGACCTGCAACAGCATACAAAAAAAAAAAGCTTGGGCATCATGAAATTGACCCAGCCTTTAAATGGCTATGAAAATCATATTATCAACCAAATCACAAGGTATTTTATTGGTTACCGCTAAAGATAACTAAGCACAAGGAATATCCTTAGAAGGAAAAATATGGCCTTGGATTCATATAACTGTGAAATCTGCTCCCTCATGGTGGAAGAACTGTTGAGCATCTATTTTGGCATTGTGCTTTTGCTCAGCAATGTTGGGGAATTTTAAACCTGAACACAATTCAGGCACGAGGAACTTTTAAAAATGTGATGGCAATCAAAGATCAAATGCAGAGTCAGTTCTTCATGGTGGCTGTCATTCTCATGAGCTGGACAATTGGTGGGCTAGGAATGAATTGATCTTCAACAATAACCAAGTTGGGATTCAGGACTGCAAAAAAAAAATTCTTCAGAGAAGCACAACTAGTTTGTCAACAATCTTCGACTAATGGATCCAAAATCTGTAATTGATCAAAGCCTTAGGCTCATTTTCTTTGTTTCTTAAAGCTGTCTTGTCTTGTATTGTACTATTTTTAGTCCTCTTCTTGCTCTAGTTTGCTCCTTAGTTTGTAGTTTGTACTTTGGTTAATTTTAATAAAAATCTGTAGAGGCCTCGGCCCCTCTAGTTCCCTCTAAAAAATGGGCGACACGAGGCACGGCCAGATGTAAGTCGTGCTCGTGCAGTGCCAGCATAGTCCAATAGTTAGTGTCATATGCTTGGGCCGCTAACTCAACCCATAGTGCCGGCATGAGCATAGCCTATTTAATAAGTTACCCGTTAAGACTACACTCTATGAAAACCTTACGTATATATAAAATAACATTGAATTCCTGACTTTTTGGTTGGTGCCCCTACTCTCCTGTTCGCCCTCTCCCAACCTTCGCTCCCTCTAACGTCTCCCCGCTCTAGTACCTCATGTGACTCAATCCACAAATCTGCCTCTTCCCTTCCACCTCTGTACACCCTCCTTTCCTCTCCACTCTGTCGATTGCACCCACGGCCGATGGTCGCTCGACTCCTCCATGGTCGGCGGTTGCTCCCCTTCCCACTCTGCACTCCATCCACCACTGCGTCGAGGCCTAAGGTCACTCCCCTCCTCCGACGACATCGCCTATTCGTGCCTTGAACCTTTTTTCCTCTCCTCCTCCATCCTCCTAGGGCGAGCAAGGCCAAGGCGTATGCCGGCGGGATGCGGGGCAAAAGCGATAGTGAGCACTTTGCAACGAGCGAGATAACAAGATCCGACTTTCTGATTGATTTGTTAACATATAAAGGATTTGTAGTAGTCTTGTGATTTTTTATTTTATTTCTCATTTTTTGGGCATGCTTTTGGTTCATCGAGCTGGCATGGGCTAGATGGGCTATCGTGCTCGTATGAGCACAGCTAAGTGGTCATAGTGTCGTGCTTGGGCTCTTTGTTGAGCCCATGGGCGACACAACAACGCACGTTTAGCTAATCGTGCTCCTTAGCGTCGTGCCTGAACGAACTAGTACCATGTTGGGTCATGCCACCCATTTGGCCATCTTCATCTTCTTGTACCTACATGTGGAGAAAAAGCCTACATCATGTAATGACATAAGATTTGTTTAGGAAAGCTCTAGCTTTGAAAACCCAAAACTAGAATAAATAACTCCATCATAGAGTAGCTCCATTCTAAAGTTAGCCTTCTATCATAGAGCCGATACACCTCTTTTGCTTGAATGTCATCTCTAGACTCAAGAAATAAAGGTTTTGGTGGAAATGACCACTTCTACCCTTAGGAGGTTGCATGTTAGATGTTTTGATATACTCCCTCAGTCCCATAATAGGTAAGTTTCTAAAAATTTTCAAGCAGATTAAAGACATTGGCAAAAGACACATGTACCCTCATTTTCATTCCTTTCTTAGAGGATATCTCTTAGATTTGGCAGTTGTCGTTTGCATGTATCCATGATTAGCTTCCGTATTAGAAGGCAATGTTCCATGTTTGTGTAGAATGTTATTTATTTTAGGACAAATTTTAAAGGTTAGAAAGTTATTTATTTTGGGATGGAGGGAGTATCTAGCATGAGTGATTCATATTGGTTTAAAAGAACTTTGTATTTAATTTTTTTGGTTTACCATTTAATGAATACATTAGTTGCAATGTTTGACCCACAAAGGTTATGAGATGAACAAATTATTACATATTAATTGGACTTGACCCATTTTTTATCCAATTAAAATCAAATAAATCCTAAGCCTCATATTAAATGCTAGGTATATTAAAGTTTTAATCCGTGAGTCATAACAATAATACACCATAAACGAACTTATCATTCCTATTTGCATTCCATCAGATTCCTCAAGCAGCAGCCAACAACTCATCCAAGTTCGATAGCTACTAACCTACTACTGACGCTACAACTGAAATTCCAAAAGAGATAGATGCATGTGTCACTCTTTAAACCATTCACGCACTAAGCTAGAACTAAACCAAGGCAGCCTGACACAGCATCTAGCTGACCTCAATCCATGTTATCATCGTCCTCATCCGGCAGGGGAATCGCTGCAGCATGTTCGATCTCTTTGTAAATCCTACATGCCATGAAAAACATTACATGATCAGAGAAGCACTCAGCGTTATCATAAACAATGTATATGAAGCATGGTAAATCGGTGTCGTCGTCACTTGTCAGGTACATGTTTGCTTTAATAATGACTTACTTTTGCTGCAGGCAGCAACGTCGATGGTCACGTCAGCAGGGATGAGGGCTATCTCTTCGACGAACTCGAGGTCCATGTTCCTGCATTTACAGTCATGCATCAGATTACCATTCGTTTGGTGTTGCTATAGCATATGCATTGCAATAAAGAGAAAGTCGGGCAGATGTATAGGAGTGGTACAATGTAGATTTGCTACAGAATGACGACAATACCCACCCTGCGATCTTCCTTGCAAGGTAGAGAAAAGGCTTCTCAAAGTTATAGGTGCTCTTGGCAGAGATCTCGTAGTACTCTGGAGGTTCTTCTTCCTGTGGTAAGTCACCGACTTGGCCTTCACCTGCCCATTCTTCACATCCACCTTGTTGCCGCAAGGGACAACCGGGATGTTCTCACACACCCTAATATGCACAATAAAAGATGTACCATCAATTCAGGACACCAAAACAAGAGGCATGTGAGCAATTCAAAAGACAAAATTAATTTTTACCTGCTGATGTCCCTGTGCCAGGTGGGAACATTCTTGTAGGTGAGCTTGAGGTGACGTCAAACATGATGATCGCACACTGACCATTCATGCTGAACAAACATATGACCAAATATTAACCCTTGATAATGCATCTTACTGTTTTTAGAGTCACAAGCCTGACCAATCCAAGAGTAAATCGTCTAGTCTCTATTCTTTCAGGGATCTCTACCAGTTCTAGTATAACTGTCTCTCTATGGTTACCACATTGGACCTACTCCAGCTGTCAAGGCTGCGCTATGGGCTAATCTGTATCCTCCATGATGTATAAGCTTGCTTATTTGTTTAATTGTGTTTGTTTATTAGCTTACATCAGTTGGCAACTTAGCTTGCATGAGAAAATATATTAATCCCTGAGGATAGGATCACTACATCGTCGTGACTTCATTGTAAGCCAGAAGCTAACATCGAAAAAATCTCAACGAAAATCGCTTGATGACATTTATTGCATTGATTTCTACCACTTTGTGCAACATTGCCTCCCTGCATTGGATGAATTCAAGCTATCTAAGCTGATTAATGTTGATCTGCATTGTGAGTACTCAACCGATGCTATCAAATAATCATTGATTTTTGTTCTTGATAAGACCAGACGATGTGAAGCAAAAGGTTGTAATGTATAGTTAGCATTTGGCTAATAGTTGTAAATACTAGGGCCCATCAGAATACCTGTCCAAATATTTCCTCGGAGCTTACTAGCGAGAAAAATCAGGATGCCAGCCGCTAAATGTCAAGTTGCAACATCCTGAATGAAGAAGTGAAGAACTAGTTGGTTGTAAGGTTCTTACTAGTATCCATCACGGAGGCCGCCAAACTTCTCCTGGCCGGCGGTGTCCAGCAGTAGAACCTCAGCTTGCCGTGGCTCGTGGTGAAGTCCAGAGGGCGCACCTCCACCCCGATTGTTGCTGCAAATCGTCAAGCAGATCAAGAACGAACAGCTCAATCAGAAAGTGAGGCTTAGGCAAGCATCTTAAACAGCAAGAGGTCTATGCCCTCCTCCAAGAACCCGAAATAGGTCTATCCATTCAAGGAAAAAAAATGTAAATATTTGCTGCTCACGTTCGTATCGCTTCTCGAACTCCCCCAGTGATGTGCCTCTTCACGTACGTCGTCTTCCCTGCAAGATGGCATAAACAAGAGGCGCAGTTTGTCAAAAGTTCGGCAACATTCAAGCGCTACCGATAAACTGCTAACAACAAGATCAAGAGCCTTACCAGTGCCACCGTCGCCAACGAGGACAAGCTTGAAGCTGGGGTAGTCCACGGGCTGGGTGTTCAGCAGAGCCTGCCTCCGTACACGAAAATCAACAAATCAGCACGAGACAGAAAAAACATAGCACTAGGAACTAGGGCGGCTTGGCACGGCGGATCGGAACGGATCAAGGATTCGACAGCGACGTCGGTCTCGCACACAGGATACGCCGAAAACCTCTACCAAATACGCCGAATGCCAGAAAGGCCGGAGCGCACCATTGGGGTCGAATGCTTGTTCCGGGATTCGGAGCGAGACTCGACGGGGTCAGAGGAGTTGGGTGGGCGACGGATTGGTGGGATCGCCGGCGACGGGGGTTCGGGTTGGGGAGGATGCGGCCGTGGCTGTGGCTATATACGGGCGCCGGAAAAAACTCCGATGGAGACAGCATGCACTGCGCGTCCGTGCATTCCATTTGTGCCGTGTGTCCGTGAAACAAATCGCACGACGCTGCTTGCTGGCCGGGAGACGAGGGAGTTGTGCGATCGTGCAAGCCATCAGGCATCGTGTGGGAGAGTTCGTCTGCTTGCTTTCGACGCGACCGCGATTGCCGAGTGGCCGCCGTGGGTTAGCTTGAGGCCTAAGCGGCTTTGTGCGCCGTCAGATGGGTTAACGACTTGACGTGTTCCCATCTGGGCCCTACATGTGTCCCTTCGGAAAACTAGCTTTCCTTTTCTTTCATGCGATTGCGAAGGAAAACGAACCGTGGTTGGCCCTATCGCTATGGATGGCAGGATGGGTCAGACCCAAAGTAATCTTGAATGGCAGGATGGGTCAGGCCCAAACGGCGCAGCGAGCGTAAGCACAAGGGGCGGTTCGATGCATGGAGGCCCATGTGCTTGTCCACCGAAAATTACCGCCATGTGCATGTCCACTGAAAATTACCGGCACTTGTCGCCGTATTCCTCCATCTAAAAATAATTAGATCCACCTAAAAAAATCTAAACTAATTATAGATATTACTTGTATGGCCTTCAAAAAAATACATCTTTCTTTTATGGTCTTTTTTTTTGAACTTACCTACGAGGCCCGAAAACAAAAATTCTGCCGTTAGTTTTCCCACTATTGGCCATGCGAAATGTTTAAAATGCCCCTACTATTATGTGTTCCCCTTCCTTTGTTTCTGCTGCATGCGGTAGGACCCCGGGTGAAAAAAAAAAAAGAGCAGCCGAGCGCCGAGCATTGGCAGTGCGCCGTGCTCTGCTCTGCCTTTCTCTGTTCCTTGGTGAACATGAAGGTCAACTGGTCGTTTTTCTTTAAAAAATAAATCTAGAAAAACAATGGAAATACTAGTAACCAAATATTGAACCGTCCATCTCTTGATATGTGCCAAATATTAGTTTTATTTGATTTAGTATAATATAGTTTAACCACATGTGGTAATATTGTAATGTTTTGTCAAATATCTGTTGCTACCAACAGCAATCGAAATTTTTTGAACTATTTATGTTAAAAAATAATATATTTTTAATTTTACGCAATTATGAAAACTTTTTATTATGCACAATATTACTTCAAATCTAAAATAGACAAATTAAACTCTGCACTTTATTTTTTCGCCAGGGGTAAAATGACTCCCACACTTAACACCGTCAATGGGCTGAATTGGATGAAAAGCCCTAGAAGGAAGAGATTTTTGTTTTCGGGCCATACAAGTAAGTTAAAAAAAAGGCCATAGAAAGAAGACATATTTTTCTTGAAGGCCATACATGTAAATATCTCAAATAATTAACGTATCTCATTTAAATAACAATCAAATTTTATAAATGCTAACTAATAATTATCCCAGTATATATGAGCTGAAGGTTCTGATCTGAATCTGAATCACAATAATAAGGTGGGATTCCAAATCGAGTACAACGTATGGTCTAGCCAACATACACGTCTACAAGGAAGTAGCGGAAACTAAACTTACATCAAAATAAAATCTAATCTATTTGTGGCGGCTCTAGAGAGATATAACTATATGGGAGGACAACCACAAGGGTGTTGTGGTCGTTCTCCAACCGTAGTATGCATCTCTAATAGACTCAACTTGATGCATGGTCCTGCAACCCAAAGTAGGTGACGCAGCATTGTAGGCCAAAAAGATATCTCCTACAACTAAAAAGAACAAAGTGTGGATATTTTTTTGTGCGACATTTATTTTGGTTCGTCCGTCTGCCCACGCCTGCGATCCCACGATATCTCCCGCATGCTGCGTCCTTTGGTACGATTCTCCTTGATTGAATATTGCCTGTTATGTGATAGAGAAATCACGACAAAATAGAAAGTAGAAAGTTATTGTGCTATCCATATACACATTGCATGTTTGCATGCACTAGCATACATGGCAACGAGCAAAAGGAAAGAGAATTAACACAGAAGGAAAGAGAATTAAGACAAAAGGAACATCTTTACATTTCTGAGAACCTTGTCAAATCTGTCTACATTTAATTACTTCCCCTCTTTGCATTTGTAAAAGGGACAGCTTTTTCCTCCTTTCATTTGATTTCACGCTCACGTGTTCCATCGCCCTCGCTCGTTGTTTCTTACTGAAATTGCCCTTGGGTCTGTTCATTTTGAATCATTTCCCCATATTCTAATTAAACTACAAATTTTTGAATTACGATACGAGATAAGACATGCAAACAGATATTTCAAAACTACCTGTAGAGTTCAAAGAACTTAATAAATAAATCCTTTTGGAGGCAATGCAAATTCTCTTTAATCTTTCATTTGGTGTAGTTAGTGTTATCATAGTACCCGCATGTATTCATGGGAAATAAATTATGGACAAAATGTGGACACTTTTTGGTGCGACATTTCAACATGGGTCCATCGTTCTACCAATATCCTTGAGGCAGATCACATAAAGGATGATAGTCCATCTATGAGATTGCTCACAAGAGACTCAAACTTATATCTGATCATGGTAATGTTGAATTGCTTTGCATCAAAAGCATCGGCAATGATAAACGGAGACATAGGTTTTAGTATGCATAGTGAAGGAAAACTCAACATTGGCCTTCTCAGCAGCTTTTCTGAGCCTTTGCAGTACTAACTTGTCCTTACTCAGATAGTCAAGAGGTGCACCATAAAATTATGCACAACTAAAAAAAGTGTCACCATTGGTTGCCTTGACCTGAAAAATATGTCGAAATTAAGATTTACAACACTTAATTCAACATCTTAGAATAGACACTCAAGTGGATACCTTATTCTACAATATATGTCTATGTGGAATAGTCCTAAAGCCACACATATTTATTTGGTGAGTATAACAAACTTTGTTTTAAAATTTTATGAGAGATTTTTTAAGACACGCAATATTATCCATGTGACAATCACTAATATTTACATATATACTCGAACCTGTGTGTACAGGATTATATGGAGATGCAGCGGAACTTATTCATGGATTTATTGGCGCATGAAAGAAATGGATATCGGAGAATTCTTTCTGCCGATATAAAATATTATATTAGCCATATCACGAAAAGTTTATACAGTAGAGTTTGTGAGCCTGCGACGCCACGCTCTCCGTGACTGTGTTAATTTCACGAACTTTGCTTTTTGAATTAAATGTCACTTTAACGTCGGTATTTAATTTAACAGTATTGTTATCTTATCGTGCAATCCGTGTGTTTTTAGTACAAAAGATTTAGTTGTCCCGTAGCAACGCACGAGCATGCTACCTAGTCAACATTAAAATGACAATTGCGTCCGACTCTAATAAGGTATAGGTATGAGTCTGGATCCATTAGAAAGTAGACTTGATAAGCTTTCCATGAAGTGCTAGAACGTCCCATTGGAGTCCATATGAAGTCGTGATGACCGTCGCAAGTTGGGGTTGTTCTACAATTTGAATCCAACTGCCAAAACATATTGGATTTGAATTCTTTCTTTCCTTGGACCAAAAGTAATATGGTGATCTGGTGGAAGACATTAGGAATACTTAGACTTGGTCTCAAATCAACTTCATTAATCTTCAATGCTTTCCGTATGCAATCAAATCTTCCCTTAATCCATATAAGTAATTTGAAAAGAAAAACATACAGACTTCATGGTGCAGCATCAATCCATAAAATCTATCAAATATAAAACTCATATAAAATAGTTGCACCTTTGGTTTAGAAGTGGTTAATATATTGATATTTGAGGCAGTGATGCCCTCATTATCTATTATAATAGTAATAAGCAACCCTTAAATTTGCATCTAATAAATATTAATAAAAATATACTAAATTATCACATCTAAATTACCGACATACGATATTATGTAAAAATTTAAATAAACTTCAATTATGCAAATATGTATTTTCAAATTATTCACTTATGTTACTATTATTATATAAAGAACTAACTTAAAGTAAACATGCATGTTATGCACACCATCATATATACAAATCAAGCTATACAAAGATATATCTGTATGTCTTAGCAACCACAAAAGGACGTTGTCTTAATGAATCATACACCAATGATTCTAACAATTTGTTTAAAGTTATTAATATACATGAAAATAATTAACACAAGCTATTACTTTTGACAATTTTATCAATTTTGACTGAAACATTGTGACACATCCCCATATAGTATAATACTCCTAGTAATAAGAATTCTAAATTTGAATAGATCAATGACGGACAAGGACTTCTTCCTCGTTTTAAAAAATTCTTTGGAGTAAACAATAATTTTTAGGCTTAAATATTACAGCGTAGTCTAGAACCTAATATCTTGATTTTCTATAGTATTCAAAGGGATAGCTATGAACAATAAGTATATTAAGCAGAAGAGTTCGAACATAATATGCCGATAACAATGTATAACAATTAATAAGATTAATGGTCAAAGTTCAGAACCATGACATCACGAGACATGGGTTGCAACACCAAAGCCACCATAACTTAAGCTAAAGTTTTAACTTGATGCATATTGATATTGAAAAGACATGGAGGTGTGATGCAGGGGAAAGAAAAACTATGGATATGGATATAAGAAACATATATAGTAATTGATAAGACCATTAGCCCATCACGACCGGACAAAGCTTATTACATACTGTATATACGGATACGTACTGCATTACAAAATGAACAAAGAGATGGCACAAGGTACCAAACATGAAATTTTAATGCTTATGTTTCCTATAAAATATAGTTCATTTAGGGGAACAAAGCATTAAGCGTCCATGTCTAGCTCCTACATGGTTAAGCTACACCTACAAGCTGCACCATGT